TGCCCTGCTGCTCTCTGACTCTTCCTACCCCACCTCTATTTTTGGAGATTTTTCCTTCTGTCTCTGTGGTTTGAGGTTTGAGCCCAGGGCTCCTGTGAGGCGTGTACTCTGATCTACACCGCCAGCCTGAACCCCTCTGAAGACCACTATAATAACATCACGGTTTCTGAAGTTCAGCCAAGCGGGGGAGAGCCCTTCGGAGAAGTCCTGCCTCACTGTCCCAGGCCCGTTAAGTTCTGTAGACCCCTTGAGCCTTCCACAAAATACTTCACTCTCGCCTTAGCCCGGCACCAGCCCTGTAGAACTGCCGATTGTTGGCTCCATAGAGGGTTTGGCCTGGCTGTCTGCACAGCAGACGGAATGCTGCCTCATGATGAAGTCATCAAGGAGACCACCCAGACTCATGGAGGGAGGCCCGCGTATCAGACCTCGTTCGGCATCTGATTAGATAATGAAGCATTGTGGGCAGTTGAGGTGCGGGTGAGGCAGGGCTCTGGAATGCTGGGTGCTCCTCCTCCAGGAGGCTCGGGGCCCGCAATGTTCGAGCCTGGCTGCTTGGAGGGCAGCTGCCCATGATGAGCTGAACATGCTTAGCAATGGGTAGGACTTGGGTGGGACCACTGTGGACGGGGAGAGAGAGGTGTCAAAAGTTGCAGAGAGTCAGGGGTGTGTACCGACATTAGTCTGCCAAAATCTATAAAAGGAAGGATTCTAGTGTTTACTGAATATCTCGATTTTGAAGTGAAATCAACATTCCTGGTGGGAGGAACAGGGCCAGGGGATGACAGTGCAGTTCCAATGGTCAACACCAGGTGGCAGTCAGCCTTAGCCGCCAAGTGGTTAGGAAACCTGCCCTCTGACTTGAAGCTTTGAGTCTCTAGGGTCACATGACTCATCTCTTGGGGACAGAGGGCAAGGCCTTCATTTGTCATGGGGCGCTAACCTCCCTTAGGGATAATTCTGAGAAAACTGGCTGCTTAATTCCAGTCCATCCAAAGGGCTGTCACATTCCTTGTCCCTTTGACAGAGTGGTTGAACTGTCTTGTTAAAGGAAAACGGGCTAAGCATTGACCCTGGGAGCCTACTGGACCCACCTCTACCCCAGTGGTCCATGTAACAGTGACTTTAAATGACATTAGATTGAATTCCTCCCTGGGACCGAGTCAGGCCTGGATCTGGGGCATTCTCACTTACAGCCATTTCCAGCTGTATTAATACTTTAGATTTTCATTCCTGCAAAGCCCAGGAGCACATATCATTATTATGCTCAAGCTCTCTCTCTCTCTCTCTCTCTCTCTCTCTCTCTCTCTCTCTCTCTCTCTCTCTCTCTCTCTCTCTCCCTCCCTCCCTCCCCCTCTCTCTGTCTCTCTGTCTCTCTCTCCCTCCCTCCCTGTCTCTCTGTGTCTCTGTCTCTGTGTCTCTCTCTCTCTTCGGGTTTTGTGTAGCTCAGGCTGGCCACAAGCTCACCCTGCAGCAGTGGGTGGCTGACTTTCTGCTCCTCCTGCCACCACAGCAGGGACTGAGGACTAGACTGAGCTCTGCACGCTGGGCAGGCACTTCAGCCACTGAGTGACATCTCCACTCTTCTTTCTTCCTGGGGTTTTTACCTGCCTTCATCTTACATGTGTGAGTGTTTTGCCTGCATGTATGCATGTATGTGCCACGCATATGCAGTGCCCGAGGTCTAGAGAATGCTGAATCTCTCAGAACTGGAGTTACGGACAGTTGTGAGCAGTCACATGGATTCTGGGAATGGAAGAACCCAGGTCCCCTATGAGAGCAGCTAGTGCTCTTAACAGCTGAGCCATCTCCAGCTGCCCACCAATTCTTTTCCTTTAATGGCGTTTGCATTTTTCTTTTCCTTTCTTTAATCTTACTGTATGGGTGTTTTGCCTGCACGTCTGACTGCGCATCACTGTAGAGCCTGGAGCTCCTGCTGAGACCAGGAGAGAGTGTCAGGTCCCCTGGAGCTGGAGTCAGCACATGGCTGTGATATACCTTTCATGGCATTTTTGTTTGTTTGTTTTAAAGAAGAAAAATAGTTAGCAATTTTCTTCAACAAAATGGCAGCAGACACTGAGCAGGGCTCACCCTACTCATCCTGTCCGTAAGTATGAAAAAGGTTCTGTGACCTTCCATGTGGTCAGGATGGGATGCACCTGGTTTCCTCTATGAGCAGCCAGGGAGGGGGTGAGCTCAGGACCCCAAGCAGGATTGCCATTGCAGATGTTGGCTTTGTTTGGCATTTAGTATATCCTTCACAGATGACCTAAACCTCTCACTGAGGCTCCTTCTTCAAGAGCCCACAGATTCACGATTCATTAGAGTGCATATGCACGTGTGTGCCTGTCCTCACCTTCTGTGTCCCTAGGGTTCCCTTCTGTGTCTTAGCTTGCTGTGCAATGTGGGTAGGAGTCTGTCTGGACACTAACAGCCATTCATACCTCGGCAGCCCCATCCCGATTCCCAAGGATGCTCCAGCAAGGTCAGCTGGCTAGGCTGGTATACTGGGGCAGACTCAGTGGTGACACCACTCATGTCCACAGGAAAGCTGCAACGGCAGAAGTGTGGAGGGACAACTAAGGACTGTGGGTCCCTCCCTTTGGGGAACTCATGTGCTCCTCACTCAGATACTGTTTCCAAAACCACTTCCTCTCTCCCATCCATAACGTGAGCCAAGGAGACCTGGCTTCCCACTGTTCCTTGGACCAAACTCTCCAATCCGTTGTGAGCGGGCGCAAATACTCAAGCTGAGGGCCTCTGGCCTGCTCGCGCTGCCTTCCTTAACGGGCTCTTCTCCTGGGTGCTGGCTCAGTGGCCATCAGCTGTCACTCTGGAGTTAGCCAGACTCAATTCTTGCCCTGAAACCCTGTTAGGATGCCTCCCTCCCTCCCAACAGTCCCCTCCCTTCTGGACATCTGCCCAAGCAAACGCAGATTCCTAACCGCAGAATGTCGAAAATCCAACTTAGGCCTTAGTCCCTGAGGCCCCATGTCCTACAATAACCTCGAATCTCCCTTTTCTTTCTTTAAGGATCCATCACTGTGCAAATGGGGTTCCTGTCCCACACATCCGTCCTTTCCTCTCCTGCCCCTTCCTTCGGGCCATCACCCCCTGCTTCAATCCTTGTAGTAACACATTAGCTAGCTTCTCTCTCTAAACGCCCTGCTATCCCCTTGGCTACCTCCCCGTGGTCCCTGCACAGCACTCTGCAGTCAAGGGAACTCTTGTTATGTCTAACTTAAACTGGTACAGTCCCTCTGGCCACTATGGAGCCCCACGATGCTCCATGTGTATTTCGGTGGTTAGATGACTTCTAATGATGCCCTAATGTTGAAAACGCTTTTTTTTCTTCTGGAAAGTCTGTTCCTTCCTTCTTCTTTGACCTGATGTTGGGATAAGTCCTCTTTGATGTGCTCCTAGTTCCTTAGCTGCTTCACACACTTCCCTATTAAATCCCTTCTGTACCTGTTTTGCATCTTGAGGGCCCCAGGGCAGTGCTTGGGCCATAGGACACTTGTGTGTGTGTGGGGCTTGTGTGATTGTAAAGGCAACTTGACTAGATGTTTGACATGAGTCCTATCTATCCATCCCCACCTGGCTGCTCCATTGACTGCCTGGAATGCTCAGGATGCAGCCTCTTGCAAGTGCTCTGTCCTCTTCCCCAGTATGACCACCGGGGTGTGCTTCCAGGACACCAGAGGCCTCAGGCAGGATCAGTCTGAGCGCTTTCCTTCCCTGACAGGCATGCAGTAAAATCCCCCAGGCTCCTGGAAGCTAGGCCAGCATGGAAGACCAGCCAGCTGCCGCTCAGCACTCTCAGGAGAAATGCCTACCCACCATCCCCCCATCTCTCCATCCTCTGTTATATCCACTGCCTATGTATACATCTACGCCTATTTCCACCATCTGTCCATCTCCGCCGTGCACCTACCATCATCTCGGTATCGATCATCTCTGTCATCGATCCACTTGCCTATTTGTCTAAGTACACACTTGCCTATTTTATTTATGGAAGTACGTTCGTGTGGCCCTCGTGTGTGCTCACACACGCGTGCGTGCACACACCTACTGTTACATGTGTCTTACATTCAGAAGGTGTGAAAAATAACTCAAAAGGGGGGAAGCACGAGAGAAAACAAAATGTGGGCATTCTGGTGAAAGCCAACTTTGGGCTGGCGAGACAGTGATGGCGTGTGACGAGCAAGCCTGACGGGACCCATGTAAGAGTGGGAGAAGAGAGCTCATTCCACGAAGCGGCCTTTGACCGCCACATGCATGCTGTGGCTCTCCCCCCCCCTTTCCGTTTTGTACATACGCAGCACTAGGTTTAAAAGGTTAGCTCCCAATGGTACCGGAGTGAAAGCGCCTCGGCTTAATTTAATCACAAATTACCCGAACCATAAGCTTCTTATTAAAGTACTGTTATCATAGAAGCTCATACCCAGCTATATGCTCTCCTTGGAAAGCAGCTGGATGGCCCTGGGTTTTGCCTGTGTTGGAGGAGATACGTGGACACAGAAGGGTCCCTGTGGACCTGACTCCTAATTTGCTGGCCTGTAGCCTCTTCAAGGCCAGGTGGTATGCTAATCTTGACGTACAGCTCCAGAATTATGGGGTCCTTCCCCTGTGACTGCTGAGGGCCACACTTGGCCGTGACTCCCTACATCTGTATAAAGCCCTCAACACATCCAGTGGACGCAGGCCTCTTCAACTCTCTGATCTCGGGCAGATTATGGTTATGAATAATAACCCACGATCTGGCTTGCATTTGGGGATTCTGGTTCATGCGGTCAGAGAATTTACTAGCTATTCAGTTTGGCAACGATTCCCGTGATCCAAATATTAATCTTTTTCATGCAAAACAGTAGCATTGCTCTGGATTCCATGTGCCGGGCAAGAGTCTGGGAGGCAGAGCCCTGACCACCACGGGCTGGCTGTGATTCACCACAGCACCATCTCCTGCTGTGAAAAGCTCTGGCTGTCCTGGCTATTTGTCACAGCAACTTCCAACGAGGCGAGACAACAGACAGGCACAGCGGACACTGCCCGTTCCCCCTCCGTGTGACGAACCATCAGGTGGAGGTACCATAAGCCTTTTCCTCTTCGAAGACCCCTCTGGGCTGGGCATGGTGGTACACAGTGCCAGTGGACCTCTCCTGCCTCTTCTCTCTTGGTTTTTTTCCTGGGCTCTTTAAACGCTGCTGTTCCTCAGAACTTAGCCTGGCTCCTCTGGCTGCACACTGGGCCACTTGACTTTTCCTCAGAAGAACTCCGCTGACCCACAAGCGTTAGCGTAAAAGGCCAAATAGCAAAAGGAAACAGCTTTGGAAACCCATTACGGTTATGCTATTTGCTAAGTTGTGTCATCTGGACAGGAACTACTCTGGTCTGAGTATGTGCAGGTCCCCACGCTCAAGTGAACCCCCCCACTAGTGTGAAAGGTGGTGCTACCAGCAGGTGCTGAGGTTACAAGGTAGACCCCTCCCCCATAAATGGGCTAGTGCCTTGATGAAAGAGTCACTACCCTGTTCACGGGGCACAGGAGCTAGGTACTGTCTCTAAGCAGAGACTCCTCTATGAAGGTGAATCCATGGTGCTTGGGGGTGGGGCTGTCTTGTTTGGGAGTGTGTCAGCATCATGTGTGCAGTGCCTGTGGGGGCCACAAGAGGGCGTTGGAGTCTCTGGAACTGGAGTTACAGGAGGGCATGGGTCTGGGGACCTAACCCAACTAACAAGTGCTCTTGACTACATCTCTCCAACCCCTAAACTATGGCTTCAAGTTCTCCAGTCTAAGGTACAAAGTTGGGGTTTTCAAGACCCTTTAGATCAACAACAGTCCTCCAGTATATATGCAGTGGCGAGCGAAACACCCAGAGGCATTAGTAAGGACGGCTGGGCTGGACTCGGAAAGAAACGCAGCCGAGTATTTTCTAAAATGAAGGAAAACTTTGAAGAAACTTTTTAAAAAAGTATTTGTGCCGGGGGGGGGGGGGGGGTGGTGGTGGTGGCGCATGCCTTTAATCCCAGCACTTGGGAGGCAGAGGCAGGCGGATCTCTGTGAGTTCAAGGCCAGACTGGTACACAGAGCGAGTTCCAGGACAGGCTCCAAAAGCTACAGGCTCAAAAATACAAAAAAAAAAATTGTGTTCATGCCCATACACAAACAAACCAAAACCAAACCCTTCTATCCCAGAAAGCCTCAGATCGGGCTCCTGGGTCCACAGGGAGAGCCCTTTGTGGAGTTTATGTGCCACCCATGACCCTCTGTGCTGTTTGATTATGTCCTCGTTCCCTTAGAAATATGTGATCAGACCCCAAGAGCTGGAGTGACTCCTGTGAGCATCAGAAGGCCACCCTCATCACAAACAGGCTTTTGAAGACACTTCGTCCTGTCCCCTCGCAGAGAACCAGTACCCACCATGGAATCAACACAAGAAATGAAATTGGAAGAAAGGGCGATACGGAACAACTGGATGGAAGAGTTGGGCCATAAAACCAAAAGCTGTGGAAGCCAACTTCATGGTTAGGAAAGAACTGGAAATGTGTGGGTGTGTGCTCAGGGCCTGAGGAAAATTCCGGAAGTCCTGCAGATGTTTTTTGTTAGGAGGCGTTGGAAGCCCCAAGGGCTGTATCTTCTTGGGAAACAAGTCTATTTAAGAAACGTATTTTCCTCTTAAGTAGTTTTCTGCTAAACTCACAAAATGCAAAGCTTGTTGGCAGGGTGAACTCCAGAATCTTCCCTGGGAGCCCAGAGCACTGGGTTTGAAAATCCTACCCATTGCATGAGTTTTCTGTCCTCTTAGTGATGGATCTCACTCAGCTGTAAATGGTTTCTCTGGGTTTGGCAGATGAAACTCTTTCCTTTCGAAGGTAATGCCAAAGTCACAATGACCGTTTTCTTGGTTTAGGGCGTTTCGACAGAAATGTTAATAAATGGAGACTTACACTCAAGGAGTCAGAGGTCAGGTTAGTGACCTTGGTACAAGGGGCTTCCTACTTTCTGGAGACAATCTGGAACTCCTATTTGAATACCTATGAAAAAGAACCTCTCATAAGAGTTGGGGCACCTTCACTGATAAGGACCACCTTAGAGGCTAGCTGGAAGGACGGGGCTCTCTACTGGACAGAAGGATAGTGAATTAATGTTTAGAAAAAGAAACCCTCAGATTTCATTTAAATATTGTATCTGCTGGAGAACTTTCCTCCATACAGAAATTTGTGCCAGGAGGATCATGAGCAATTAAGTCTTTACAAACAAAATGTGCTTTATGAGTAGCTGGGGAGATGGGATCTACTTGTTGGACAGTGATTGATGGGTTAGCCAAACATCCCACCTAAAACCTTGTGAAAGCCTAGAACTCCAGCTGGCTGTGCACTTTGGAGAACAACTCAGATTGCTCCACGCGGTGACTGGAAGTGTTGCTAATATGGACCGTATTCAAGGACATTAGATTCTCTTAGTCCCGGGGACGTTACTCAAGCCAATGAGAATTTTGATGGCATGTTCCCCAGAGGCTATAGCCACCAGTGTGAGCCTCACACAGACCCTGCCAGCATTCATGCTGTTTCCCTCCAAGAGGAACAGGTGCTTTGCGGCGGTCCTGCCAGGAAGATGATGGGGTGCAAGGCCAGATTAAACTACACGAGGCCAGTGTGTGGGAATCTACATTTTAAACAGTTTCATGGCAAATCTCCCAAAACATAAGTGGCATTTGAGAAAGTCCAGTTTTTCTTTCATGTATTTCTTAAAACTGCACTGTTACCTAGGGAATATTATTACATGACTTGGAGGAGGAACAATTTCACAAGAGTAGGAGCAACATAACACAGTTGTTTTTGGTCATTTGTGGGAAACAACCAGTGGGGTTCAGACTTGCAGAACTACAGGTTTGGGGTTAGCCGAGCTTGGGGCAAACTTCAACACATTCTATGGGCAAACCACATCGTCTCTCCCTCATTTCACCAAGTCAGGATAGGACTGGTGTCTTTGGTAGGGTCTGTGGTTGACACCAACACTCAAGAAGGTTTAAAAAAAAATCCAGTCATGCGGTGGTGGCGCACGCCTTTAATCTCAGCACTCAGGAGGCAGAGGCAGGCGGATCTCTGTGAGTTTGAGACCAGCCTAGTCTACAAGAGCTAGTTCCGGGACAGACTCCAAAGCCACAGAGAAACCGCCCTCCCCAAAATCCAATGTAGCCCAGGATGGTCTGTAACTGCTGTGTAGCCAAGAATGCCTTCCCCTGGAATTGCTCTAAACACATGGTTTGCAACCGGGACTGTCAGTTCAGGGAACTGTGCAGTAGGTTGGTAACCAATTCCCTCGGACATCTCCCCAGTGCCCCCCCATTCCTTCTGTTTCTTATACCCCCTTACAGCGGTTGCCAGAAAGCCGGGCTCTCAGCAGCTGCACCATAACGCACGCATTCTTTTAATTTTACTGCCAATTAAAAAAAAAAAAGAAAACTCACAACCAAAAATTGGCAGGAATTTGCAATTGACTCTTTTTTAAAAGAATAAAGCTCTCTAAGTGAGCAAAAGAAGAAAGAAAGAGGGCAGTTTTACGTAACTAAAGAAGAAAATAGTTTTATAGGAATGTGGTCTGCTCAAGAAGGATGCTTTAAAGACTTGGTTGATGGCTTCCAACTTCCACCCTTCCCGTGCCGGTAGTCTGGCTCCGTGCAGGGTTGATTGTGACTTCCTCTGTTCCATTCTTGAGCGTGGGGACTCCTGGCTTTCCTCTGAAGCCACTTCTCCATGCTTACCCATACTACCTAAACAGGCAGAGTGTGTCCCCACGGCAGTTTCTTCCCCCACGGCAATGAGTGGCCAAGGGAATGAATTCCCAGGGAGAGGAAACAGAGGGGAAAGGAGTGAAATCTGACTTTGATCTAGATTTTTGTGTTCTTCTAAAAATAACATCAGAGCCTTTTACACATTGACCGTCCTAAGAGATCAGGCTGTTTTATTTATCTGTTTATTTTTATTTTTTTATTTTATTTTTGTGGTCTGAGTTTGTTTGTCAGTTTTCCCAGGGTGGAGGGCTTTTTTTTTCCTTAGGATACAGCTGCTTTCAAGCTGATACTAACCCCTCGCTCAGCTCACCAGAGGGCTGTTTAAGTCTAACTTTAGAGAAGAGACTCTACTGAAGTCAAAGTTGCAAAAAATAAATTTGTGACTATAAAAAAATAAAAAAAAACCAGGGTGGAGGGGTCACATAACCTCTGTCCACCCACAGCCTCCAAATCCAGGGTGGGTCCTATTCCCGCCCACTCCCCCCTTCTCCACAAAGGGCAGTTTATCCCCAGGGGAGCAGGTAGAATCTTGTAGATTGCCCTCTCTCCCCTTCACCCGATTCCCTTTGCTACATTTCCCTAAGTGGCAGTCCAAGTCTGGGCCAATACTTCTGGCCTCAAATTTTGATTTACTCCCCAAATGCCACGTCTGCCTTGCCAAGATTGTGAAATATGCCACCTACACTGTTCTTAAAAAGTAAAAAGAGTTTAGTGCATTGCTAATGGAAAATATGTCTCCGTCACTAAGCGGAAAGGAGAAATAGAAACTCATTTTTAAATCCCTCTCTCATATTAAGCAAGTTCCCACATATGAAAACCTGACCCCAAGGACCCATTCGAGTGAATGACAGATCTGGGACGCGGAGGCAAAGGGTGTCTTAGGACGCTGTGGGGGCGTTTTTTTTTGGTTCCAGGTCAGCACAGGCCACCTCTCTGTGGACCTGTCTGGCAGAGCCCCGCTGCGAGCTGCATCCAAGACTCGTGACGCATCTATGAATGACCAGCATGGGAGACTTATCTCCAGACAGACAACTGTGGGGGTGGACAGACAGCTGGCTGAGGGAGCTTTCCCAAAGCCCTCCGACTGCCATGTTCTGTTAGCAGGGCTCCCTGCACGTTTGGCAGGCTTGCTCCAGCTGGAGTGGTGTTATGACCAAGGATGGTAAGGCTGTGGGTATCTGAATTAGTCATGTTGGTCAGCCTGGGGCTGGCAGGGCTCAGGGCTTGGGGAATTCAGGGGCTTGGCTTGGACCACAGGATAAAACCACAGAACATTCGAATATTTATGAGATCCCTTTCCTGAAATCTTCCTGTGCAGTTTACAGATTGGTTCTTACTAAACAGCAAATCTAATGATGATGTTGTTGTGTCCTTAGTGACTGACAGGCAACCACCTGCCATGTTCTCTTCACGGAGTGGGTGGAACGGGGAACTCAGCCATTTCTATCATGACTTTGAATGGATTTCAGAATGGAATCCAATTACAAGATGCTCAGGATTTACCTCTTGGGATTATTAGCAGAGTTTAGGAAAGGGATGGGAAGGGCCGGGGCTCAGCTGGTACGGTGAGTGCCTGCTGTGCATTGTGGACTTGAGTGTGGTGCCACACACCTGTCAAGAGTCCTAGGTCACCCTCAGCTATGCTAATGAAATATTAAAAAGGGGTGGGGCATGTGTGATACTCCATTAAGAGAATCCAAGGCAAGGGACATGCTCTCTGTCCACAGATCTTCTGGTTGGCCAGATTTCATTTTTATGACAAATGCTCCTGCCTCAGGGGAAAGGCAAGTCCCTAAATTAATGGTTTGGGAGTAGCAGGGTGTGGGGCAGCTGAAGGCTTCCCCCTCCTCACCTGTGGTCTTCTGAGACCATTTTGACCCTCTGACTGCAGGGCCAGAGTAACTCCCATGTATCTTCCCAAGCTCTAGGCTGGTTGATAAATGACAAAAGAAAACATGTCACACCTTCACGGAATTGCAGCCTGATGAACAGACAGAGGGTGACCATTGTGAGACACTGAGCCCCACAGACTGGCGAGGTCCCAAAACAGTGGCACGTTCCTGGCATGGAGCTTGCGAGTTTCTAGTACATCAATCCTTTGCAGCTTGCTCTCCTGTAACACGGCCATCACAGCCAGAGGAGAAAGTAGCCCGTTTCTACACAGAGGGCACCCTGGGTCTGAGGGGCTCCCTGATGCTGTCCTTCTGAGCCACTGTAGAGAACATGCTGGCCACACTTAGCATCCTCCTGGCCATTGCACCGAGATCTAATTTCCTAAGAGACGTGTGCTGGCCCTGTGGAGGGGAACACGGGCTTGGTGGCCGATTGAGCTGACGGGGGTTCCCCAGCTCCTATGGCCTCAGTTATATCACACAGCCCTGCGTATTTCTAGCAAACCGTGGTGATCCCCACGTGCCCTCAAACTTCGTGGTTTCTTTTTGACTCATGTTTGAATGAGCTATTAACTGACAACCAAATCTGTGTCACCAAGCGGCAGGAGTGGAGAGCAGGAGGGTGGCCGCCGGCAGGCCTGTGCATTGAGCCCTGCAGGACCCAGGCTCCTGTGTTGGATGTTTTAGTGGGATCCCATCCTAGGCAGGTGTTCCTTTAGCGGGCGGGAAGAGTCACCTCCTGAATGTGCTAAGGTGTGGTGAAAAGTAGGTAGCAACAGGTCGGCTAAAGACTGGGTGAGGGACTGGGGTACCTCAGAGGGCTCTGTGGCTTTTGGGGTGTGGAGTATATATACACTTAGTGTATGGGAAGTCCTGCACTCCCTCTCCAGCACAGAGAGGCAGCCAGCAAACTCCAGCTCCTTGGGTCCTTTGTCTCAACAGTCTGACAGCTAAAGGGAGGGACACGATGTCTCGTTAGCC